CCACAGAATTGGGTTCTTGCATACCAACATATGTCCTAGGGGACGTTGCAGCGTACTCCGACGCATCATCTTCAACTTCTCCCCTTCCCTCCATCGCCTTAAACATCCGCCACCAAGTGACAAATATTTCGCCTGTAACGACATCTCCTGCGTTGCGTCTCAACATCCGCACCATAAGGTTTCCATCGTTGCCAACCACTTCAGTCAGAAATCGTTCCACCAACGCTCCATCAAGACCAGCTGTCTGGCAGATCCCTCCCGCCACTTCCACCACCTCCATCGTACCTAAGCTTTGAAAGGGGGGCGGGGACAGAAGTGAGATATATAAAAATGATCGCAAGTAGGAGTTGCTGTGAGCCCGTATCAGAAGGCGCCACATCCAGCTAAGTGTTGTGGCCGTAGTCACCGTTAGGACTCCAAGGATCCACACACACAAGAAGAGGTATATCTTCTCATTCAACACATTCATAGTGAGAGCGCAGATTGCAGTGTAGGTTTGGGATTGAACACCCAGATGTGGAATGCGAACAGGACAGAGAGCCTTGTGAGGAAACAGTTGGCTTCCTTCCCACTCTTTACGACTGTGTGCGAAACTGAGCAGACGCCCACTTACACCATCAAAAACACTTCCGTAGGTGGGACTGGGCCTTAGACACCGCACAGTTAAAAATATCTGCCCAGCGCAATTACTGATATAGAGGACCTTTACGAACAGGTAGCAGATTACTGAATGATTACCCATTCGCCTCTTCATAAGACAGGAGCTTCCACAAGGCTGACGGGAACAGAGACTGTCTTGAACACGTGAACAGATGCTCATGCTGGTGCTAAAGTGTTGCCGAGAGAGGAGGTACAGATGATCGGCACAGGCTCGAACTAATTTCAGTCTTGCAGCCTGCTCCTCACAACGTCCAGCCGCTACTGCGCGGGTGATAAGGTAAATAAGGTTGTCACCGAAAGAGTTGGTAGATAGAACCTTCCAAATTAAGTGGGGCAGATAGAAGAGAATCGCTTGAATCGACAGGCAGAAAGGCATCCATTGATGAAATGCTGAAAAATTGAAATGCTAGGACATCACAATCGCAACTCTGTTTTGAGCGACGTTTTCTGCCCAAACTTACCAATTTCACTTCTTCCCAATAGTTTCTCCCACTCCACCTCACCATCAGGTATTTCATCATCCTTTTCCATCCTAATGATACCACTACTCCAGCAAACAGACTCAGCAAAGCTCCGAAATTCATCACCTGGTATAGCTGGAATATCGCAGGCGATTGGGTGGAGGAAATAGACCTTGGTCATCGCAATTCCAGCCAGCAGGAGGATGAGGAGAGGGGTAAAGGTATGATTTAGCTGGTCCCCAAAATCGTCCAAAATTGCCACTGAACCTGTTTTCTGTCCGTTTCGCAAACTTCCCCCCATTTGGATAGGCGGTTGTCTTTCAGAAGCAGTCAAGAAATGTCCAAAACTGCTCCTCTCCAAACCCACACGAATGCTGCTTTTGTTGCCTCCCTTTATTTTCGCGGATGCGCAGCACGCTGAACACTCTAGACAGATTTCAATCTGCTACAGAAAGGATGCTGTCATGAGTGGACTCACAAGTGCACCTCTAAGTGAATCAAATGCCTGACTATGATCAAGCCATAAAAGCGAGAACGTAAAATTTTCACCTAGCATGACGGCTACTACCTCATTTTCGGCCAAAAATTGGACGAATTTAAGTAAGAATTTTTGCTTACATAGGAACTGCTGCAGCGGTGCCGATCTTTGCTCGATGGATGTGGACAGGGTGCATACATCCGTTGCCACTCGCAGAGGAACGCTACACGTGGCCAACCAATGGCTGAGTCCAAGGTACTAGTAACCAATTATAAGAAGGCGCGCAATATGGATGCGTAACCGTGATTCACTGGCACATACAAACAGACGCAAACGCATGAACACAAACGTACGCACATGCACATGATGCGTAACTTGCTGAGAACAAAGATAATGGGCGTTGACATCGTTGTATCGCAGGTATGCTGCTACTGTGATGTCTTGCATACGATCACCGCTAATCAATTCCAACTCCAATTTACCATCTTTTGGTTAAAACCTGCCATTTGTTCCCAAAAATTACCGCTTTAGTGCTCTGGACCTGCATGTCACAATATTGTGCACCTAAATAGAAAAGAATGGAGTAAATTTGTTGGAAAGTATTTTAATGAGGTACCAAAACTCCAGTCTAGAGAGGGATCCAAGATGATACCAAAAAGTTAGTTAATGGTCAAACAATAGTGTTCAAGCCTTTTAATGAAAATATACCGACAGATTTCCTTACCTTTTTACCAAGAGACCATCAAAACACTTTCGATAGATTTTGGCAACCCCAAAAGTACTAATTTAGTGCAGTCCCGACCCAAAATCCCGCGAAAGTTGAGAATTGTTTGTTTACCTTAAGGTTTATTCAGTGCAAAGAGGCGATTATGGTGCAATTGGACCACATCAAGGGTATATAATCGGTATGCTTGTGCACAGTGGAGTCTGTACACCACATTTGAACGATGAAGTTTGGCTACTGAAAAGCTAATAAGTACCACGTCATGCTTAATGAATTGCCTCCCAGCTGAAAGTGCTCCGTTGAGCTGGGGTGGACCAACTGGCACCATAGCCGAGAGGTTCTGTGGAAACGAGATCCGCGTCGGTATGATAGGGTGGTGGTGGGGCCACACGGGTACCCCGAAACTCCTCTCTCCGTTGTAGGTCGTTAATAGGTGGCAGCTGCAGCATATCGTCCAATGAAATTGGCTCAAAATATGAGGTCAGTCTGCGCTGATAGACCGCTTCCTCGCCTTTGAGGTGATCATCCTCTTGTTGGAGAATCGATTGAACCCATGAGGTTGGTCGGTCGTAGGGGATGCCAACCTTTGGAGCAGGATCACCCAATGCATCCAAGTCTGGTTTGGGATTAAATAAAATGAAAAAGGCAGATATTTTGCAGCGCATTAACATCCACTTGAAATATCCAGTCCACAAAATTTGTTTCCCAAAATATTTAACGAATTTTATACTTGCAAAAATACCGTTCAACTAGATGGATCTGAGCTCAGAGGAGTTACAATGTATAAGTATGACTTTACTTAATTTATAGGTATATTAAGCAGGAGACTAAACCATCCATTACAGAAGGACCTTTTCCTGCAATCGAGGGTGATTACCGCCCAGAAAAAGTGAAATTTTTATTCCATGTAACAGTTTTGTCAGCTTTAGTGCTCCAAAAAGAGCACAATTCAAGTCTGTGGAGCCCGATTTAGGGGAGGCTAAAAGTGGACATCCCTTTGTTATAGCTTCTTGTCACCGATCAAAGCTAATTACCTCCCTTGGAAAACACAACAAACTTATTATTTCATGAAATTCTGGAAAAGCACAAATTGATGTCCCAATAACAATGGCCCCATCTCCCCTTTTCAAAAACACAAAACCGACCATAATGCCGATAACATCGGGCCAGGTACTAGGACAAAAACACTTTGAGGTGTCCGCCCTCCCCTCCTCCCACCATCTTCTTATCTCAACCCAGGCACTCAGGCATTGGGTGTGTCAAAAGGTAAAAAGGGGAAGAATGGGACGGGGAGAGAGAGGAGAAGGCACAGGAGAGACCATTATCTCCATCACCACGGCAATTACTAGAAAGGCATCTGGCGCCAGCGCTGTGTTCTGGGAGGCAATCGATTTCAGAGGAGAAGGAGGATGCAACGGTTTGGTCGCGGTAGAGTTTGGTGCCCCTTGGAACACGTATTATGCGTTTCTCATGCATTTTTCGGCCAAATGCCATTGGTTGCCTGCCTATTCAAAAAAGATGATTGGCTAAAATGAACTCGAAAATTTAATTGGTGAGGAGAGTTTTTCGGGATTTGCGTGAGACTGTCACTTATTGGCACCTCAAAGAGAATTATAAAATTCACATGCACACTAGCCATGGATTGTGTACTTTCTACAATGGAGATAATGCTGCGAAAGGGCCCATTTGAACTAAAAATAATCATATATGAGCTCTTTCACATGTTTCCATGAGCCTCACCTTTGATGCGGCATTAAAAGCCAATTCAGCATCACAATTGAAAAGGAAAGCAGCGCACTCATTTCCACAAACATTCGTTTATTAAAAAGTAAAAATGGAGAGAAACTCCACTTTAAATACACCTGACTATCTTATGGGGTGAGATTTAGCAACGCGATATATTTAAACGAGCAACGTTACTCCTCGTCTTTAGGGATCGGATTTCCGTTAAGCAACCCATTTGCTGCCCTACCCTGTTACGACTGATTCTGTGGCTGTGGAGAACAAACTCTTAACAAATTTTGTTCTCTCTGATCAAACAGCAGCTTGACCAAATATGCAATGGGTTAATGCAAAACAGCGTAAATGTTAACAGCTCCGCAGTTGGTGTTTAGTGGGACAAAAAGAACTTCATAAAGTGGGTTTATTGTTTGTTTTACAAACCACATCTCCACATCCTTATGAAAATGCGCCGTCACAACCCTTCTATTTAATGCATTTCGATAAATCTACTGCAACAGCATTGCTAAGCTTAGCTATCTTTCGGTATTTTAAAAAGTAAGGATTATTTCCTTGGACATTGATATGGTGAAGTAGAACCTAAAAATTGAAATTAAAAAGTAAATCAGGGGGTTCAAGGTTCTCTTTATCTAAATGCTAAGTGCTTGCAACACTAACTTCTGGTAATGGATAGTCAGTGAGAGATTTTGCTTGCTTGCAGTCTTTCTGAAAATTGAGAAAGCATTACTAAAAAGCCACACGTCTTTGTTTATCCATGGAGTTCGTC